ATACAATGCTTTCTCTTTGGCACGGTTCTTATCTTTGCCTTTTTAATACTATAGACTTATGAACAAAGACGAAAGTAAAAGTCCTTTTAGCAGCGACGTTTCAAGATGTATTATGCTCCTAAAATAGCGAGTATCTCTTCTTGTATCATATTAGGAATGTGTTTCTACTACAGTATCTTGATGAAGGTTGTTCCTTATCCAATTTCGGAAATTATTACAGTGGTCTTTGTACTAGTTTTAGCGTGTGCAAGTCTCGCTTATGCACGGGTAGCAGCTCTCATCTTCTTGTGTTTGATATACTTGGTCAATGAAGGGTTAATAATGATGCTGCTTCTTACGAATTTTCCAAATTTAGTAGCATAAATTTATACTGACAGTGTACCTGCCAACCTGGAAATGATGAGCAGAATACAGTACTGCATATAAATTGAGCAAATCAAGTTATAACTCCGTAGGACAGAAGAGTATTTAACACCGATTTAATCGCAGGTAAATAAATTTGAAGAAATGCAAAAAGATGTACTAGATATTACCTTACTGTCAAATGTTGATATGTAAAAAGAACTTGAAACTTTTAATGAACATGTCACGCCAATTGCCGACCACGCTGCAGCTAACAACCTGAAACTTGATAGGTTTCTCCTACCTTATACTTATGTAAGTGATTTTACTACTCGCGCTAACAGAACAGAATGGGTATTTAGTAACAGGACAACTTCAAAATAATAATTCATGAACTAGTTTTTGCGCGATCGAACTGTAATTTGTCATGAACAGTCATCTAAGATGTACAAAATGTGCAAAGAAATAGAGCTAAAGTCTTTACGACGTTGCTAAAAGCTAGCCCGGCATGATCCATAATTTGTGGAATAATGTAGTGGACTTATATTGGTAGGTAAATGTCGTTAGCGGTATAAAAAGTCTTGGCAAGATTTTGAATGTAATTATGAAGATTTAGAGATCGAAAAGCATACCAATAATTTAATGTCGGAACATTTAGGGCAACTGCCAGATATGCCTGGGAAATATCATGCCGTTGTTTCCAACCTAAAGGAAACTGAAAGATTGATAGCTCTCAAAGAATAGGAAATGGATAACAATTTTTTGAGTGGCATAGAAGATAGGGTGTGGCTTGCAATAGCCATAGATATTTGGTGCAGTTATGTCGCCCCATTTGTGATTATATTTTTTGCCCTGCGGTCAGCAAGAAAATATCTAAGAAATTATGATACTGATATAAATTTCGACAATTCTTATATCGGCACAGAGATCGAACTGTGTGATGAATTTCGAAAAAATAATAATTTGGGATAGATCTTGCCACTGAATAGTTTAGAACAAAAATCCTACTACACACATATTGCTTCTCATAAACTAACCATAATGGAGAAGTCTGAGAGATACGGTAGGGTTACTTTTTGGTGTATGTTCATATCCCTTGTAGTATTTTTCTGGTTCATAGAAAATGTTGTCTACGTAGCTGGCATATTTCATAATTACAGAACGGACGTGACCTTCAACTTTACGGCCCATAGTGGCTTTCTTGTCAACATCACAGGCTCCGGATTCTTAGCAGACTTTCTCAGGGAAAAGCTGTAGCCCTTGTCCTTCAGCAATATTGTAACAGGAGAAGTTTCCCATTTTACCTGTAGAGAGATGATGCAGGAACCGGATCACAACAAGTATATGATGCATTTCCTGGGCGGCTGGCTATGTTTACTGTACACCTTACTCTTTACATACCTGAATCGCTTGAGTAGCCTCGTTTGCAATTTACTCTTCCCGGAAAGAGGTAGGGATCGTCAGGTTAAACTCTGTGATAAGATCGTCAAGAATCGGTGGTTATACATCGAAACATTTATCTTCAAGACGATTGGGATGAAGGTCTCGAACTAGCGTGCATATACATAGAAGAAGATAGTGAACATTATCAGGTGGAAATGGGACTTTGTGAATCTTCTATTTAGACAACTCAGAGTTCCCTCGATGAGATGCGATTGCTGCTTTGCCGCTGAAGACATGTATTTCAATCGTTGTAAAAACGAATCTTGCGGATTTAGTTTCTGCCGACCGTGTTCATTTTTCTTCAGTGGGTAGTGCGTGAACTGCGAATTTGAGCCTAGCTAACAAATGGTGAAGGAAAATATAGAAAAAATCCTGTCCCATATAGAATATCTGTAGCCCAAAGAGAGGGCAAAGTTAATTAAAAAAAAGAAAAAGGAAAAAAAGCAGAAAGAACAATACGAAAAAGCAGAAGAGATGAAGGAGCAAAAATGGAAAAAGCAAATGGAAAAGAAGCAGCAAAAAGACCTATCAAAACGTAAACATCAAAAGGAGAAGGAAAGAGCACATCAACAAGAGGTGTAGAGGAAATTGGAAGAAAAAAAGGCGGCTTGGGAAAAAGAATAACAAATGAATAAATCACATAAAGGTAAATCTAGGTTAAGAATGCAAATAACCTCAGAACCAATAATCATACCGAAAGGAAGATTTTTTTATA